ATTTGCCACATAAACGTATGAGTCAAGAGAACTGATGTGCCATATGAGGAAATTTGCAACCAGGATTCTGCCTCAGTTAAGACAATTTTATGTTGTAATAGGAGATTACTGCAATGTGCAGTTCTGAGCAATCACTTTGGGGAAAGTAAGAAAGAGCAAGGAAGCAAGTTTCACAGTATGAAGTCAATTAATGGAATGATGAAACAAAGAAAGTATTCAAATTATTAGTGTACTAGAGAAGAAACAGAGGTTGTGCTACATAGCACTAAAATGTTCCATTTTCTTCCAAGAAGACCAATTCTATGGACACCAGGAGGCATGCACTCAGAAAATAAAGGCATTGGGATTCCCTGTCCCAATACTTTTGAAAGTACCATGAGAAGTTGCATTGCTCAGAGAAGAGACGGGGTGGCTAGCACAGACAAACAGTCCAAGACCATGGATGTTTGGGGTGATTTGTCCAGGCACTTTCAGATCTTGGTAGACACCAAGGTAAAAGTTAATGAATCTATGAAATGTTGCTGAGCCTTCATCAACTCTGCTTTTCTTGCTTTCTCAGAAAAGTGAAGGAACAAAAAAAAAAAAGTTGAAATAAAAATATTTCAAACATAAACTAGGAAAATATGCAACATTCAGAAGAAAAAATGCACCCCCAAAACCAGTAAAACAAGAAGTTAGAAAATGGGACTTGAGGAAGATCCAAACCTTGACAGATGAAAATCCAAGCTGGTTGAGTTTAACCAGGCTGGCACACCACAGAGAGACCTAGAGCACCTGCAGACTCATGAACAAGTACCATATCCCTCCTGGCATGGGACTGTTCTGGTGGTACATCAGTTGCAGTGGCTGGCAGCTGAGTGTGTCAGGTCTTCAGTCAGGGAATAGTCAGGTGCTAGACAGGATGCTTTCCTAGACAGGTGAGGATGCTTCCACTCAGCATTGAAGAATTTCATTGCCTCCAAATTCAAAGAGGATGCTGAAAACTGAAAACTGTGACCACTGCTGTAAAGAAAACTCTCACTGAGCAAAAATCAAAAAAGTGCAGTCTCTGGCAATAGAAGTGTCATCTCACTAGATCATTAACTACATTCCAAAATCACTTAACAAAAGAGAGTTACGGTAAATGGCAAAACTCAGTGTACCTATGCTACAAACAGAACAAATTTTAAAAAAGTTTGATTTGCACAGCTTAGCCAGAAACATGGATGTGGATGAAGTGGAAGTAACACAGGAATGTAGTATATGCCAAACCTGTAAGAAAGGAGTGAGTGGCATAATGAATTCTTTATATATTCTTTCACTCATAAACAGTTTCAATTGAATCAGAGGTACTAAAATCTTTGGAATCCATTCTTCCCTGTACCAAGAGAGAAATCAGTTAACATCACATGTTAAATTGCTATGGTCACTGCTCTTCTTTCTGGCAAGGCAAAGCCAAGTTTTCACACTGGGGGGGGGGGGGGGGGGGAAATGCAATCAAAACTAAGACAACAAAATCAGCCTACTGAAGTAATCTAGGTAGCAAGACCCTGATCAGAAACTATTTTCTGATCATGTTGAGAAGATACATTCAGATGATGTTAAAGATTCAAATTCTGTGGATGGCACAGTCCCTCAGAAGCACCTCCCACTGGGCCTGCACTCCTAGAGGGCTTAAGCCATGTGTTGGCTCCACATTTCTCTCACAGACAGGTTGGTGTGAACCTAGAATGCACAGTCACTAAGATCAATTCCACATTATCCTTCTCCTCTCATGCTTCAATGAGCTGAAATGCTCACAGCTCCTGGTGGTGTCTGTCCCAAAAAGCAGGACCGGGGCCTGGAGGCACATATGGACAGCACCGTGAGATGAACTTATCATGTGTTTGCAGCTAACATTGGGAAAACAAACTGGAGAGAGAGATCTGATCAAACCTGTGGACAATGACACCACATGTTTTGCAGAGATGTGCAAGGACCAGAAGAGACACATCTTGCTTAAACCCTGGTAACTGGGACATGATTTTTTTGCTACAGCAGAATTAGTCAGCTGTTTTATGGTCTTCCATTCCAGGTCCTCTGCACACAGGAACAAGTCAGGCTGACTTGGAGCAACAGTAAAAAAATCTCTTTATATTATGGCTCAGGAAAAAAAAAAAAGTATAATATACTGCACAATATAAAGTGGAAATCTGAAGAATTTTAAATACTTACATTCCCCATGTCCTTAAATACTTAAATACAGCAAGGCCTGATTTTTGAACTTCTCTCCAGAGCACTCAGCCTTTCACCATCAATACAACTAAAGCTCATGTCTTTGAGACTATTATAGTAGATGATGTACCTATTTTCTGTCTCAGAAATGCCTGAGGTGCTCTTAATAGAACAAAAAAGTGCTAAAGCATTCACCAAAATTTCTTGATGTTTCTAAGTTGCTACAGGAAAGATTCTTGCATGGATTAAATAACTATCCATAGGAGGGAGAATAAATCTGTCAATACAGAGATCCCTTTTACATCATATGTGGCTACTCCTCGCACACTTGGGAAAAGGCCCCAAAACCTGACTAGCTCAACTTTAGGACAGCTCAGACAGGTCCTCAAACCCATTTCTATAAAATCTCCTCTGCCAGCCACTGGTGGGGCAAGAAAAATATCCTAGTGTCTTAGTTTCAGAAAAAAATACACGTTTTTCTTCAGTATTTTTTGACCTTTGTATTGAAGCTATCAAATCACTAAAGGTTGCCATACCCCAGTTACAGAACTTGTTTGCTGGTTTTGCTACGGTTTCCCACTCTTTATGTGCATCAAAGAGAACGACAGCTTTTTCTGGTAAAATACTGGAAGAGGATTTCTCTTTCTGGATTGCCAATCAATAGCAAAAGTGTCCAGTCAGCTTTGTAGCAATCTCTGAAACAGTAAACAGCATTTTTTCATCATGTGGCCATCAACACTTTCCTGTTCACAGATATGAAATGAACATTTTCTATTGATATTAAAAGCCAACATATTAAAGTCCTATTCAGGAATAAAACAGAAAAGTCTTGTACAATGCTAGCAAATAAAAGATATTTACATTGTAATTTCAAATTCTGTCATCTCCTGTAATGAGAAAATGATAACAAACTTGCATTAAGATCTCCTGTCAGAGAACAATGTCAATTTTTGTCTCTAAACATTGCACTTTGATTCTTGCCTACCTGTTTGTTTCAGATGTGTTGCTTAGGCATTCAACACGTTCTATGTTTACTCCATTACCTATCTGTTCAACCAAGATTGCATACATCAATTGGAGTACGATAAATGGAGCATGAAGACAGGCCAGATCACTATGAAAATCCTCTCCTACAGGTAGTGAGCAAAGGAGAAAATCTCAGAGAGATGATAAAACCTTATTTACTCTGCATGTCCCATTCTGTCCAACAGGATGATTCCCCGTGTATCCCTGATCTATGAGCTATGGCATAGGTGAATTCAGAAAGAAAACATACAAATCCAAGCAGGTACACTATCTGGTTTTAACAAGTTCACTTTGCTTTTCACAGGTCACATGCTTCTTTTTCACCAAGCAGCCAACAATATTTCTCTATTTATTTATTAAAGGTAACATAACAAATCGGTGCACCAAGCTAAAACAGGATGGAAACAAAATCACAAAGGGCATGGTATTTTTTGCCCTACGTTCGTAAGGATGCAATTGAACTGCTCTCTCCCATTCAAAACGCATTTGAAATTGGACAAAATCCAATGCCTTAGTCATGCTCAGAGGCAGCAGCCCAACACCCTGTGTATATTGGCCAGTCAGCTTCTGGATACTGAATTCGAATGTGGGTAAAATTGATGCTACCACATGAGCCATCAAACAGAGGGAGAGGGATAGGTGGGAGGGGAGAGGAATAAAGAGATTTTTGTCCACAGCTGCCCCTTCAAAAGAGAAACTCATCAAAAAAGTAAGACTTAGGTCTGTTTCTCATGGAACGATTATTTGCTACTAAGGAAGGACAAAAGGATGGTTTGGTTGTAGGCATGCAACTGCAATGCAGCTGTATGCATATTGCTACTAAGATTTTGAGAACACAGAGAAGGAAGTTTATCATGAGGCAAAAGAGAAATAGACGGCCAGCAGCTGCTCCATAAGTAACTCCTGGTCCCAGATGAAGAATTAATTTGGTTGGAAAGACCCCATTGCACAGGCTTATTGCTATCATGTAGCTCAGTGTGATCCTCCATGAATACAGAGGAAGAGGTGTACTGCCTCGGATGAAGAACCCATTCAGTCCAACATCCTGTTTCCACCAGAGGCCACAGGCAAACGTCAAAGGAAGAGGAAAAGCAAGGCAAATATATGATATCTTCTCTGCAACACTCCCACAGCTACCAACTGCTTTCAGCTCAGGGAATTTCCTGAGTGTGAGGGGGTGTTCATTCATTAACTCTCAACACAGTCCTCTTCCAAATACTTGGCCTATCCTCCCTGCACCCTAGAGAAACAGCCTGTACTCAGCATGCCATTCAGAAAGGCACTGAACGAAGAACCATCTCCTCCTGCCTGTTTAGACTTGGGCTCCTGCTGCTGCAAACCTGATGGTTTGTACGCAGAAAGTCAGCTGGCATCCACAAGTTACATAGGATGTGACAGGCCTCATGCATCCTCCCTCTTTGGTAAGAACTCGAAACCCCAATTGTCCCTTTCAAAGGACACAAAGTCAGACAGCCCAGCATCCTTGTTATTCTTTTCTAGTTCCAGCATTTTCTTTCTAAGAAGTAGGAAACACAACAGGGAACAGTACTCATGGTGCAAATTCACCACAGATTTCTGGAGTGCCATAAATGTGTTCCTGGTTTTGTTCTCTGTCCCTTTCCTTGAAATGTGCCTTGCTTTTCCAAACATAAAGATGGCATTCATGCAGGGCCTACACACTTAAGTCTCACTGCTGAGTGGCAGCACTAATTCAGGTATTCCTACCTTTTAAGTAAAGTTACGACTAGTTAGGACATCACCTTGCATTTATCTACTCTGTAATTAATCTACTCTTTTACTGCCTAATCACCCACAATTCTTTACGGATGACCCTCACCCCCTGCTAACTTAAAAGGTTTTGCACAGTCAGCAAACATTCTTGTCTTGCCGCTCACCGTTTCCTCCACGGGAATGAATGAAGCACTGCTCAGCTGCCTCCTTGCGCTCAGCTCCTCACTGATGATGGTCTCTGTGGCTATGAAATAATGCACATCTGTGCTTGACAATTAATGACAGCCTACCTTCTAATACAAGGAATACTTGATACTGCTTGGCATAAAGAACCTGAAAAACTGTTTAAAACACAGATACCATTATAATTATTATCTCATGTGCACACATGAAGCCACATGTATTTAATATTAAGCACAAATAATATTACATGGCCAGAGCAATGCATATGAGATAGTTTGTAACTCCTTGCTAATACAAAACTGTTCATTTCATTACCTTCTCTCGGCCATGAAAATTAGCAGTATTGTATTTGATTCATTCTGGTCAGAAGTAGAGCTGGGGAGAATATTCTGCTTTGATTGCGCTGTCAGACTGCCCCTGAGAAAAAGAAAAAGCCAAACATCTCTAGCATATATTTCTAAAATAGTTTTACTTAATTATTAACACTCTTGTCTTGCATAGATAGTTGCGGCCCACAGCCAATTTTATTTGAACGCCTTGACTCTGAATTTGCTTTTGTTTATGTATTCTGATTTCCTTTTAATCCTAATTCCAGTTTGGTTGCATAACAATAATGTCCTTTTGCCCTTAAAACCTTACACAGGGTCTCAAACTTGGCTTTGGTTTAAGGCAGTTTTGGTTTATGAATGATACGGAACTATTTGCTACCCTACAAGCACAACTCAGTTCACTCCTCCCTAAATGTCTGCTCCTACAAAACAAGGAAGAAGAGACACCAGAATTGCATAAGGAATCCAAACATACATGTGTTTGCTTTTCAAGCAAACATTTCCATTTCCAAGACACCTAGTAAACATTTTTCTTCTATCTTTTTTTTTATTTCACTTGTTTCTACTATGTTTATTACTCTGTTTGGAACTCCACTGTCAGTAAGTCAGTCCAAAAAAGGGAGTAATGAGGTTGGAGAAACGTATGCTCATACTGTATAATTGCATAAGCTGCTTCCTGTACGCTGGGGTTACGATTTGCATTTTCATCTATTAAATACCTTGTGTTCTAGATCATTCTCTCTGACTGTGAAACGTATTTGGACATCTCCACTGTGGCACTTTTCCAACTTTATACAAACACTGGAAAGCAATCTCGCTGAAAGCAGACGGTTTAGTATGACTTGGTTATTAATTTTTAAGGAAGAGGTTCTGTGATCTGCGACAAGAGAAGTATTTTAATTGACGGGAGGAGCTATCTACCACTCATGCACATATTAGAACCACTTAAAATGTCTTCATCTGCATTTCTGTACGTATGTATATATATATATGTGTATATATATATGGAGATATATATATAAAAATTTCCCAGAAGCAGGATGTTCTTTTCTCAGCGTTCATAGCACACTCTGCTGGCTGTTGTCGAAAGTTAATGCCAAGCGAGGACGAGAAGCTAAAAAGAAATAAAATGTTTTAGGACACAGGAGAAACACAATCCATGCAGGTAATTACCGCGGGCATTTGAACGGAGAGCACAAGGGACGTATTCTGGGAGCAGCAAGGGAGGGTTGGCAGGAAACTAGTTTAGTTTCACGGAAGAGAGCGAGCTTTTTTTTTTTTTTCTTTTTGGGAGGGGGTGGGGGGGTTGTATGGGGGGGAGGGAAGGAAGGCTTCTCCCCGTGCTGAGGTCATCCCGTTTCAGCATGGAGGCAGGGAGCAAGCATCTGTGCCAGTGCCTCCATTTCCGTTCCTTCAAGGACAGGGCAGGCACTGCCTGACGGGCGGGCGAGGATCACTGGCTGCTCGGCATTAAGTGGCTTTATATGAAAGTGGCTTAGAGCCACATTTGCATGACAAAGCCATTTGCGCGTCCCTCCTCAGTAAGGGAGGCTGCAGCCTCCATTTGTCCTCCCTTGCACGGAACACGTGAAACCATTAAGGGCAGGACGGGGATTTTGTTAGGAAAGCGCTTATTGCCCGTGCCGAGCGAGGCTGGGACACGACGGGCCGCGAACAGGACGAGTAGGGAGTGGGGAGAGTGCTCCTGCAGAGTTTTCAGGGCAGAAAACGTGGCCGGGGCCGTTTCCGGCCGAGAACCAACCTCGCGCAGGGCTTTGGCGGGGCCGGACCGGGCGGACAAAAGGGGCATTGCTGGGTGACGCTGCTGAGGAATTCCTGCCGGGCGGGGCGGGATTTATGGCTTTTTTTTTTTCCACGGGGCCGCTCGGGCCCGAGGCGGGGGACGGTGCAGAAAGCGCAGGGTCATCATCGCCTCCCCTCCCCCAGCCCTTCCCCTCCCCGGTTCCGCGGTGCCGGTGCCGGTGCCGGTCCCGGTCCCGGTCCCGGCACAGCCGCCCCCCCGGCCGACACCGGCCCCCACCCCGGCCCGCGCGCGCCCCCCGCCCCCCACCCTCGCGCGCCACGCGGGCCGCGGGCCCCGCCCCGCCGCCTGGCCGCGCGCGCCCCCCCTTCCCCTCCCCCCTCGCGCGCCCTCCCGGCGCGCCCCGCGCGGCGGCGGCGGGGCGGAGCCCCCGCCCTGGCGGCTCGCGAGGAGGGGCGGGGCGATGGCTGCGCGCCTGCGCGGGCGGCCTCGCCCCTTCTGTGGCCACCCCCGCCCCCCGCCCTGCGCAGGCGCAGTGCGGCGGCGGCTCGGCGAGGGGAAGGGCGAGAGCGGCTGCCGGAGCGGGGGGGACCACGGGGCTCCGGCGCTCCCGCCGCCGCCATGGCGGGCGCGGCCCCGGCCCACGAGCAGGACCATGAGCAGAAGGTTTCGACCGCGGCGTGCGAGCGGCCGCACCTCTCAGCGGCGGCGCTGGCGAAGATCGAGCGGAACCGGCAGCGGGCGCTGGCACTGCGGCAGGCGCGGCTGGCGGCCCGGCCCTACCCTGCCGCAGGTCGGATGGCGGCGGCGGCGGAACGGGCGAGTCCCCGCGCCCTTTTTTCTCTTTTTTAGGGGGGAGGTTTCTAGAGGGGAAAGATGTGGGGAAAGGGTGGCTCCGCCGGCCGTGGGGCGGTGGGGGCGGCGGGGAAGGGGGGGGGGGGGGTGCGGTAAAGTGGCTGGAGCGGGGTGGGGGTTGGGGGGGGAGAAACCGCCGCGGCGCGCGAGGGGCCCCCCCTCCCCCCACATGTGTGGGGGAGGGGGGGGCTCTTGCACGCGCGCGCTCTCCGCGCGGCCCCCCGCCTCGCGCGCGCGGCGCGGTGGGGGCGGCCGCGCGCGCCCCCTGCCGGCGGCGGCGCTTTAACGCAGCGCCCGCCCCGTTTGTGCTCCTGCAGGCGGCGGCGCGCGGGCGCGGGCCCTCCCCAAGGTCGTGGACACGGGAGGGGGATTCTTCCTGGAGGAGGAGGAGGAGAGCGAGCAGAAGGAAGAGCGCGGCGCCGGCGAGAAGATCGTGCACCCACCCGGTAATTCAGAAAAAAACGTGTAGGGAGCGGCGGGGGTTTGGCGGGGAGGCGGCGGGAGGAGGCGGCGCCGCGTGCGCGGGACTGGCGGGGGAGGGCAGGAAGGCGCGGGGGCGACAGTGAGCCGGCTCCGGCCGCGCCAGCAGGGCGGGATGGATGGGCGCCTTTTTTTTTTTCCCGGGCTTTTTTTGCTCTCCTTTCTTACCCTCTTTTTCTTTCTTTTTTCCTTTTTTTTTTTCCTTTTTTTTTTTTTTTCTTTTATTTTAATTGCTGATATCCCTTTCCCTCCTTCACACGTTTTTCTGGACGTGCTCGATTAGTGGCGCGTCCGATTCTTTTCAGCATTAAATCGGCTATAGCAAATGCGCGGTAATTAAAAATGAAGAATTTTAAGCCGCGGAAGTGGGACACAGCCAGTGCCCTTGGGTATAGCACATTTTAATTTTTTTTTCTCCCCCATAAACGTTATTTCCATTATTTCTTTCGGGGAATTTAAATTTTAAGACCGATACAAGCGTAAATTTTCGCGGTTTCGTCGGTTGTGGGAATTTTGGGATTTATGTGGTTTGTGCCAAGACCGGAGCGCTGCTGCAGTGCCAGCTTTTATCGTTATAAAACGTGCTGGCGCCAAGTTACTGATCGTTCGGTGGAGGATTTCAGCACATTGCCTTGCGATATTCTCCCCCCCAAAAAAAGCAAATGGAGAAGTAAGGGTCCCAAAATAGATCGACTTTCTTCTCTGGGATTGTCTTTGTCTTGCTTTGTTCTGCTTGAATCAGCTGCGGGGCTGTTGGTGCAGTGTATCTCTTTGTTAGAAATCAGCACCAGATTTCATTAACGGTGTAAACAATTAGCAGCCCTGCTTCTTTGGATGGGCTAATGTTTAACAATAAATTTAAGTAGATCTGGGATGCCTTTACACTGGGCGTTTTTTTTGCTGTGTAATTCATAACGTCATTGTCTTAATAAAATGTCTTCGTATTCGGGAGCACTGCCTTAAATGATGGAATGTGATGTAAGAGTATGAAATGACTGAAGTACTGAGCATCCGGCTGTCGCTAGTAGGACTGAATTTACATAAAATGTCGTCTTTGCTGGATCGGATCTGCTATAAATGCAAACGCTATTAAAATATATGGTGCTGTATGTTAACCATTAATCTTCTGCTCCAGGTGTTCCTAAAATTTTACAGCACTGCCTCGCTTTCAGATTTCAAAACTGTATAGAAATGTTAATTTTCTGATAGAATTCCGATGTTACTGTTCAAGGAATGTTCCTTATAGCTGTTGTTGCCCGATTCGGTGTTTTTTGGTGTCCTGTGGAACATAAAAGCAGATGGTGATGACGCTGGAGGTGATCCGCCCGTTGAGGATGCGCCCAGAAGCAGTGGCTGGCGCTGAGATGAGTCTGGGCTTGGAGCAGTGCTGAGAGGGCTTGGGGAGAGGATTGTAGTGGAGCTCCATCCCCATTCCACTCCTAGCAGCTCTCTGGCCATCCACCTCCGTTTCTGCCAGCTGGAACGGACAAGAACCTTGCCAACTGCCCCAGGCTTCCACTGAGCTCGTTTAGGGAGAGGCAGGTGTGGCTGAGCTAGGAAAAAAACTGGAGCAGAGCTGAGAGAACTATGATGCCAGCGCAGCTCCTGTAGTTTCCTGCTCTAGCCACCCTCTTCAAACTGAATCCCTTCTCTGCTTCCTCCCGTTTCTGCCCGCATGTCCTCTATAAATCAGGGCATATTTTAGGAGGGTCAGAACAGAGGAAGTGGCAGGAGAAGATTTGATGCACTTTGTGAGAAGTGTGGAGAATTTTTTTAACAATGGCTAAATATACATTTAAATGTTGAAGTTAAGTACTTAATGCTTAACTTGAGAAGACATTCCAACAGACATTGAATTGTGTGGTAATGGGTTTGGATGTGTACTGTATTGTTCTAAAAAACTTGGACAGAGTGAAACTAGTTTGTAATATGCTTATGTGAATTCTAGTAAAATTGCCTGTAATACCAATTCTAGATGCTTGTTTTTATCATTGTAGTCCCTTTAAAAAATATTTCTTTCTATTAGCACCCGTGCTAGAATTTGACTATCTCATCTGTGGAGACTGTGGCAAAGAATTCATGGACTCCTACCTTATGCAGCACTTTGATTGGGCAACATGTGATAATTGCAGGTATTACAAATAATCAGGAGAGAAAAACACTATTTTACATAAGATTGCTAGCTATAATTCAGTGAGTTACAGACTGTCAGCAAGAGAGACATATTTCAGTAACTTTCAAAAAATGTAAATTAAATTTGATACCCTGTGCAAGTTCCATTATGGAATTGAATCACAAATTGTCTCATAAGCCTGCCTTAGGATAGGGGACATCAGTGGAATTTCATACAACATTATGGTAATGGGATGTCATGAGAGCAGTTGGTGTGTTTGTCAGTGTGAAAATTTATGTCTGGCTGCAGACTGGAGCCGTTTGAAAACCTGATGCAACACAAATACCCACTCTTTGAAGTGGAGCAGGGATTAGGAGAGTGTTTGTGGTCCCAGTGTTTTAACTCAAGTGTAGTTGGTACTTTGGTCAGCATGGGCGTGCTGGAAGCACAGCAGCCAAAGGGCAGAGCCCCCATGGGAGGTTACTGGTTGGCCTGCGAGGTAAGCAGGAGTTTGACCTTGAGAGGAGAGCAAGCTCTTATCTTTTAGCACAGAAAACGCTCCAAAAGCCATCAAGATAACCAGGGCAATGAAACCAACTGCAGCAGCCAGCTGCCCATGTGTGTAAGAATGAATTGAGTGAATGAAAAAAAAAAGCCAGAGTTTGTTCTGGGAGCCTACCCATTTACTGCCGGGAGTGGTTAGGGATGTGCACGTGGTGTAGGCAATTCGCGGTCATATTGGAGGCAAAGTTCTGTTTCAGAAGTTACTTAGGTAGGAAAAGGATGTTAACAACAGGGCTTGGAGCTTGTGGAGTCTGGTCTGAGCTCTTGTAGCTGATGGCTGGAGTGTCCTTGGTGCATTAGCTGTAACTGTGAACTTTGAATTCTAGTACAGCTACATTTACAGCAGTACTTCCTTGATGACCGTTGTTAGCACTTAGTGTTTGGCAGATCTTTTGGCTCAAGCGATTCAAGTTGTACTTCAGTCAGGATTGCGTAAATGTAATTTTTTCCATTAACTCATAAATGCTGCTGTGGTTACAGAGTTTTTCATTATCTGGTAAAGGCTACTGTCTTTAAAACCTTTTTTATACTTTCTCTGCCTATTGTCCTGCATTATAGAAAGTGCTCTGTGTTGCTAATCAGCTTCTGAGATCTAGAACCATATGGAGTGTGTATATTCTCAGGTGATCTGACCTGTCTCACATTACACATTCTTTCTTTCTTGACCATTTGAGGCTCATGCATCTGTGCTGTTGGATTGCATCTGAGTTAGGTGAATACCTGAAATTACTCATTTTAAGTTTCATTGTAAGAAAATAGAAGAAAAGCCTTTCTAGAAGAGCAGGCTTCTCAGTCTATGTCTGCTGAAATGGGAATTTTTAAACGCTTAATTTCAGTAAATCTAGTCTCGAGTTTAGCTAAGCATTTGGAATCCAAAATTATTTGCATGCATATAAAACTGAGGGTATTAGGTCTACCTGTATTTCAGGAATGTTAGAAGGGATGGGGACTTAGATGTTAATAACCTGTGGTTTTAGGGTGTAGCTTTCTCATCATTATTTTACATCTTGCAGAGATGTTGAAGATAAACATAAGCTTATAACAAGGACAGAAGCAAAAGAAGAGTATCTGCTTAAAGACTGTGACTTAGACAAGAGGGAACCAGTGCTCAGATTCATTGTGAAGAAAA